TACTTTCCTTTTTTTTGCAAGGCCCAGGAGGGAGAGGGCCCCGACAAGGCCCAGGAGGGCCCCGACAAGGCCCAGGAGGGAGAGGGCCCAGGAGGGCCCCGACAAGGCCCAGGAAGGAGAGGGCCCTGACAAGGCCCAGGAGGGAGAGGACCCTGGAGGGAGAGGGCCCAGGAGGGCCCCGACAAGGCCCAGGAAGGAGAGGGCCCTGACAAGGCCCAGGAGGGAGAGGACCCTGGAGGGAGAGGGCCCAGGAGGGAGAAGGCCCCGGCAAGGCCCAGGAGGGAGAGGGCCCAGGAGGGAGAGGGCCCAGGAGGGAGAAGGCCCCGGCAAGGCCCAGGAGGGAGAGGGCCCAGGAGGGAGAGGGCCCAGGAGGGAGAAGGCCCCGGCAAGGCCCAGGAGGGAGAGGGCCCTGACAAGGCCCAGGAGGGAGAGGGCCCAGGAGGGAGAGGGCCCTGACAAGGCCCAGGAGGGAGAGGGCCCAGGAGGGAGAGGGCCTTGACAAGCCCCAGGAGGGAGAGGGCCCCGACAAGCCCCAGGAGGGAGTGGACCCAGGAGGGAGAGGGCCCAGGAGGGAGAGGGCCCAGGAGGCAGTGGGCCCCGGCAAGGCCCAGGACGGGGTGGCCCCTTGTCGCTTCACCAATTCTCCGTGCCGCGTTGCCTCCCTGCGCGGTGCCCTCCCCCCTCCCCCCCCGGCCCCGGCCCGGCGACCCCCTTGGCGACGGCGGCGACATCCTTCACGGTTTATTTTTTATTAATCACGGTCCATTTTGTACACGAGATACCGCCGACGACATCACAAACAAACCCAAGGAACCGCGTGCCGACGGGAGAATTAACAGCAGGCACGTGGGTGGGAGGGGCCAAGCGCCTCGCCGTCACTCGGCAATTCAACCAATCGCGGAGGCGCTGACGCCGAGGGCGCTGTGACGTCACGACCCGGCCACGTGCTCAAAGGACAAAGATCCCGACCCACCCACCACGGTTTAGGCTCTAACAGTGCTGCAGGGGCAAGTGCTGTTAGTGGCGAGTAGCAGCAGCAGCAGCAGCTGTCTATGAAGGCTTACCGGCCACTGTGGCTACACACACACACAGGGGGTGGGTGGCCAGGACAACCACGCACGGCCGCCTTTGTCTCTCCCCCCCCCCCCCCCCCCCCCCAGCGGCGATGTTTACTCCGCTTACACCGGGTGACTCATTTGAGGCCGAGTCGACCTAGGTGAGGTCCGGTTCAGATAATCGTCACTGTGGGTGGTGTTGGTGGTGTTGGTGGCCGTGAGCCGGGTTCGTAGCGCTAACCGCTCACACTACCGCTCCCCACACACAGACACGCACGCACGGGCGCACAATTTCCATAAACTATTACAATGTTGTTTTTTAATGTAATCATCTTACCGGTTGGAGGTGTAAGCTTCCCACCAACGAGAACCCTTCAACAAATGACGACGGCTCCAACCAGCAAAAGTGATTTATGTCATCGTCATCACCACCGCCACGAACCACCACGTGGACATTTCTAGGAGCAGCCAAACACTCTTAAACGGGTGGCATCGTCAATTCTAAATCCACGCGGCCACGGAGAGACACACACAGACAGACAGAGAGAGGGGGAGAGAGAGAATCTCTGACTGCAAATATACAGCATCGTCAGGGTCGGGATTGAACCCACGACCTCCTGTAGACCAGGCGAGGTGGTCAACATCTCTTAGCCACCGTGATGATGATGATGAGAGAGACGCAGACTCCACATCTACAGCAGCAGCAGCAGCAGGCATCGTCAGGGTCACGGGATTGAACCCACGACCTCCTGTATACCAGGCGAGGTGGTCAACATCTAGCCACCATGATGATGATGCGATGAGAGAGAGACGCAGACTTCAAATCTACAGGAGGGGTCGGGATTGAACCCACGACCTCCTGTATACCAGGCGAGGTGGTCAACATCTCACAGCCAAGGTGATGATGATTAGAGAGACAGACTCCAAATCTACAGGAGGGATCGGGATTGAACCCACGACCTCCTGTAGACCAGGCGAGGTGGTCAACATCTCACAGCCACCGTGATGATGATGAGAGAGAGACACAGACTCCAAATCTACAGGAGGGATCGGGATTGAACCCACGACCTCCCGCGTACCAGGCGAGGTAGTCAACATCTCCTGGCCACTGTGATGATGATGATGATGAGAGACGCAGACTCCACATCTACAAGAGGGGTCGGGATTGAACCCACGACCTCCCGCGTACCAGGCGAGGTAGTCAACATCTCCGGCCACCGCTCTGTGCTCCGACACCAGATCAGTGCCATCACGGGTTCCGTGGTTGGGATGATTTTTTTCCCCCAATGCCAATTTTTGCCGCCATCACCATCACCGATCATCGTCACCGGTGATCGTCGTCAGCACGATTCATCAACAATACAACTACCACCACCACCACCATCAATTATCATCGATCAATCACTCCAGTGCCACAAACTTGACTACCACGTTGTTGCATTTCAACAACGTTTGTTCTATGTAAGGGAGAGAGGGACGCAGAGAGACAGAGAGAGACACAGACACAGAGAGACAGACAGACATAGAAAGACAGAGACGCACAGAGAGACAGACAGAGACACAGAGAAACACAGAGAGAGCCACAGAGAGACACAGAGAGACACAGAGACACAGAGAGACAGGGACACAGAGAGACAGACACAGATACACACAGAGAGACAGGGACACAGAGAGACAGACACAGATACACACAGAGAGACAGGGACACAGAGAGACACAGAGAGACAGGGACACAGAGAGACAGGGACACAGAGAGACAGACAGATATAGAAAGACAGAGACGCACAGAGAGACAGACAGAGACACAGAGAAACACAGAGAGAGCCACAGAGAGACAGAGACACAGAGAGACAGAGACACAGAGAGACAGACACATATACACACAGAGAGACAGGGACACAGAGAGACAGACACAGATACACACAGAGAGACAGGGACACAGAGAGACACAGAGAGACAGGGACACAGAGAGACAGGGACACAGAGAGACAGACAGACATAGAAAGACAGAGACGCACAGAGAGACAGACAGAGACACAGAGAAACACAGAGAGAGCCACAGAGAGACAGAGACACAGAGAGACACAGAGACACAGAGAGACAGACACATATACACACAGAGAGACAGGGACACAGAGAGACAGACACAGATACACACAGAGAGACAGGGACACAGAGAGACACAGAGAGACAGGGACACAGAGAGACAGGGACACAGAGAGACAGACAGACATAGAAAGACAGAGACGCACAGAGAGACAGACAGAGACACAGAGAAACACAGAGAGAGCCACAGAGAGACAGAGACACAGAGAGACACAGAGACACAGAGAGACACAGAGACACAGAGAGACAGACACATATACACACAGAGAGACAGGGACACAGAGAGACAGGGACACAGAGAGACAGACAGACATAGAAAGACAGAGACGCACAGAGAGACAGACAGAGACACAGAGAAACACAGAGAGAGCCACAGAGAGACAGAGACACAGACAGAGACACAGAGAGACAGAGACACAGAGAGACAGACACATATACACACAGAGAGACAGGGACACAGAGAGACACAGAGAGACAGGGACACAGAGAGACAGGGACACAGAGAGACACAGAGACACAGAGAGACAGACACATATACACACAGAGAGACAGGGACACAGAGAGACAGAGAGACACAGAGAGACAGGGACACAGAGAGACAGAGACACAGAGAGACAGAGAGACACAGAGAGACAGAGACACAGAGAGATACAAAAAACCGAGCGTGATCCTTCTTACAAAAATGTGGAATTTCCACTGCTGGCTGAGGGTGGGCGAGGCGAGGGGCGGGGCGAGTGGGCGGGGCGGGGCGAGTGGGGCGGGGCGAGTGGGGTGGGGCGGGGCGAGTGGGGTGGGACGAGTGGGGCTGGGCGAGTGGGGCGGGGCGAGTGGGGCGGGGCGAGTGGGGCGGGGCGAGTGGGGCGGGGCGAGTGGGTGGGGCGGGGCGAGTGGGTGGGGCGGGGCGAGTGGGGTGGGGCGGGGCGAGTGGGGCTGATCGATAGAGGGCAGAGTGAATAGGTGAGTGAATAGGTGATTGAGGTGACTGAATAGGTGATTGAGTGACTGAGTGAGTGACTGAGCGAGGGAGTGACTGAGCGAGTGGCTGAGCGAGTGGCTGAGCGAGCGAGTGACTGAGCGAGTGGCTGAGTGAACGACTGAGCGAGTGACTGAGCGAGTGGCTGAGCGAGGGAGTGACTGAGCGAATGGCTGAACGAGTGGCTGAGTGAACGAGTGACTGAGCGAGTGAGTGACTGAGCGAGTGACTGAGCGAGTGACTGAGCGAGCGAGTGACTGAGCGAGTGGCTGAGTGAACGACTGAGCGAGTGACTGAGCGAGTGGCTGAGCGAGGGAGTGACTGAGCGAGTGACTGAGCGAGTGGCTGAGCGAGTGGCTGAGTGAACGAGTGACTGAGCGAGTGACTGAGTGAGTGACTGAGCGAGCGAGTGACTGAGCGAGGGAGTGACTGAGCGAGTGGCTGAGTGAGTGGCTGAGCGAGTGGCTGAGTGAACGAGTGACTGAGCGAGGGAGTGACTGAGCGAGGGAGTGACTGAGCGAGTGAGTGACTGAGCGAGTGACTGAGCGAGTGACTGAGTGAGTGACTGAGCGAGGGAGTGACTGAGCGAGTGACTGAGTGAGTGACTGAGCGAGGGAGTGACTGAGCGAGGGAGTGACTGAGCGAGTGACTGAGGGAGTGACTGAGCGAGTGACTGAGGGAGTGACTAAGCGAGTGACTAAGCGAGTGACTAAGCGAGTGACTGAGCGAGCGAGTGAGGGAATGAGTGACTGAGCGAGTGACTGAGCGAGGGAGCAAGTTCGCCAAACCGGGCCGCGTCGAATGAAACCCGGAATGGTCGACAAGACGCAGCAACAACAACAACGTCAACAACAACAACAACAACGTCAACACCAAGACGTCAACAACAACAACAAGACGCCACCACCACCACCACCGCCACCATCTTCACGGAGCCCAGCAGAGAGTTGGCCCTGGCAAAGGCCGGAATGTTTTGAGTTACCGCGACCGTCACG